ATAGGTAGGAGGAGAGGGACTGAGAGAAGACAAGGATGACCACCAGCTCTCTTCCTTGGTCCTTGTTATGGTTTAGATCTAACATATCCCCCCAAAGTCTCATGTGTTCAGGGGTTGGGCTTTTGGAAGGCAGTTGGATCAGGTGGGCGCTGAATGGGCTGTTAGGAAGTAGGACCTGGTTGGAGGAGGTGGATCACTGGGGAATGACCTGGAAGAGTGTATTCTTGTCCTCAGCCTTTTCCTCTCTCTCTGGTTTTTTTCCTGCTGTCTCTGTATCCTGGCTACCATGGATTGAGTTGCTTTCCTCAACTATACTCTTCCACCATGACATTTCTGCTTTGGAGCCAGATGACCATGGACCAAAGCTTCTGAAATTGTGTGCCAAAACAAACACTTTCTTCCTAAAGTTGCCTATGTCATGTATTTTGCTCCAGCTATGGAAAAGCCAACTAGTACTGTCCTTGAGTAAGTGGTTGGGGACATCATTAATAAAGAAAGAAGGAGGAGTATGCATGAGAGAGATCTAGCAGTATTTTTAGTGCTTCTGATAAGATATATAGGTCTAAGAAGGATCCAGGAGGTCATTGTTGACCAAAGTGGGTGCAGTTTTATGAGACAGGTGGGAGTAGGAGCCAGGTTAGAATGGGTGGAAGAGGAAGTGGGGTGAGAGGAATGGACGCCAGGAATGTAGATAACTTTTCAAGAAGTTTGTCAGCCATGACATATTTCTATTTAAATTTTCAAACTCGCTAACCTCCAATGGAAAGCATCATTTTTTTTTTAATTACATAAATTCTAAAAGTTCTCATGCTTCCAATGTTTGGTAGAATGTAGTCCTTAAACAATATCATGTTGACAGTTTTAAGGGTGGTGACCACACCTAAGTCAACAACAGTGTAAGATGCAACTATTTGTCATATGTTGACAGATGATTAACATCAAGCCAATATAAGAATCACTCAAACACGAACCATTTAGGCCTTATGTATTAGATTTTTGTTCACCTTCGTAAAATCTGAAGGGTAAGCAGTTTTCAATCATTCAATCACTAATATGTTAGATATATTTGAAGGCTTTAAAAAGAAACAAAGAGGCCCGGGGATTTAGCTCAGTGGTTCCAGCGTCTGCCTCAAAAGCACAAGGTCCTGAGTTCAATCTCCGGTACCAAAAACAAACAAACAAACAATCAAACATAGAGTCAGTAACATGTTGGCTTTGTGCTTTGTCACAATGACACTCAGTTGAGTGTGCTTCTGTGTGGAAGGAGAGCCAGTCTATAAGAAGGGGCTGGGCTAGGCTTGGGGCAGGAAGAGGATATGTGAAAATGTATATCATCTTGACTTGGGTTCCTGTGCTACAGAGAACAAGATAAGGGGCTATGCATGGGTGGTTTGTTCTGGAAATGATTTCAAGGGAGAAATGTGGGAATTGAGAAGGCCAAGCTGAGGAATATTATTAAATCAATAAGTACTGTGGACAACTGGGACTCAGTTCCATTGGAGACCATTTTGAAGAGCTGTGTAGAATGAGCCTGAAAATTGTCTCCCTGAGAACCAGAAGAGGGAACACTTCTGCCTCTCTTCTTATAGCTTAAGGGCTGCCTTGTCCAGTGTCAACTCCCTTGAACTTCCAGGTTTGTTTTATGCACTGTAATGGCTAAGGGGACATCCACAGATGTGCTTTGTGAGCATGCCTTGGTAGGAAGCAATTGTTTCTGTCAAGTAGAGAGAGATGGTTGAAGAAAATAGATTTTAAAAATGTATAAATCAAGCCTGCTATGGTTTGAATGTGCTTTATCCTCTCTGAAATTTATGTTGGAGTTTAAGGCCCACTGTGCTACTGGTATGCAGGAGGTCGAAAGTTAATCAGACTACAGTGTTGAAAGTTGGAGCCTATGGGAGGTATTAAGATTAGAAGTGATTTTTGTGGGTTTTTTTGGTATCAGGGATCGAACTTGGGACCTTGTGCTTGCAAGGCAGGTGGTGGCACCATTGAACTAAATCCCCGGCCCTATTAAGATTAGATATAGTCAGGAGGAAGGAGCCCTCATGAGTAAATACTGGTAGCTTGATAAGAAGGAAGGACACCAGGAGAAACACAGAGATGTGCACTTCCTGTCTCTTGCCACATGATGCCCTAAACCATCTTGGGACTCTGCCAGCAACAAGGTCATCATTAGATGCAGCCCTTGAACTTTAGACCTCCATAATTGTGAGCTCAAACAAATCTCTTTATAATTTAACCCATCTGTGGTACTGTATTGTGTATTTAGCAACAGAAAATGGCTGAATCAAATGTTCTCAAATTCTTCTCATCTCTGAAAGCACCTCCATCTGCAGTGTGGATTTTGCAGTCCTTTCTGTCAAGAAGTGGAGTCAGTTTCTCTTTCCCTTGAATCAGGGCTTGGTTACACAGCTTGCTTTGCCCAATGGGACAGTAGCAAATATCCATTAAGGTGTGGGGCCTAGGCTGGGGAGAAAAGAAAGTCAGTCTGGTATATAGAAGAAATGGAAAGGTCAGTAATTTAAGGTCTTTCTTTCTTGAAACCCTGGGGTTTTCTTCTCTGAATCTCTGCTTGGAGCTGGATCAAACTCACTGGTTTCCATCCCCACCCCCATGACACTAAGGTCCTGCTGTCTCATTAGCGTATCAGTCTGCCCTCCACTCAGAAGACTTCTAGACACCCACAGAGTCATGCGTGCCCTCTGTTTAGAAGTAGGCAAGGCTATTTTTATTCCTCAGTATATCATAATCTGTGATTACTGACATCATTCATCTCCTTGTGTTCAGACAAACCAATTTGTTGGTTTTATGCACTTTCCCCTTGCCATATCTTGGGCACCACAGAAAAGAGCTGCACCCAGTCTTAAGCCATCCAGAGACCAGAGACTTTCACAAAAATTTTTTCAGTGCCTAATATTACAACTTTCCCATCCTCTTTTCTAGATACGCATCAGAAGGGGGATAGTGCCTGCAGATTCTGGACCCAATAGACACTTGGAGATTTTGGGGGATAACATGTAAATATATGTACAAATGAACTCTACTGGCCAGGACTTTATTGTGCTGTCCCAGTTGGCTGCAATGGAGATCGGAAAATGTAATCTCTAGTCCTTAGAAGTGTGCCTATGTAAGAGACAAAAAGTATTGCAGGGGAAATAGAAATTGCTGCTACATCTATTTCAATTTTTGCAATTTTGGCTCTAGCACTGGACTAGGAATGAGGAAATTGCCAAGATCAAAGAAGACACAGCTCTTTAGAATTCCCTCCAGCCTGGGAATCCTCCCACCCTGGGATACGAAAGGGGAACTTGGAGGACGTAGGGGAAAGAACTAATAACAGCAGCTAGCTGCTACATTTATCTAGCACTTATTGTATGTCAGACACTGAGTGAAGAATTTCATACGCTTAATGTTGAGTTTCTATATCCTCAGCTATAGTATGGGGGAAACGGTTATCAATCTAAGCTTGTTGTGATAAATAAACACCAAGTACCCTGCTATTCCTAGTATACAGAGAATGGTAAAAACAAATAATGGTTCCCAGAACTCATAATCTGATTGGCATAGCCCAGCCAATGGATTAAGCCTATTTTGGGTCAGGTGATCACCCCTGGTCTAATCAGGTTTGGCAGAGGGTGAAGTCTCTTGGTGTGAACAAGATTTATTGAAGGGATTGAGAAGATTAGCAGGATGATAAGGCTAGATTTCAGAGCACGTGTTTACTGAAGGAAGTGCAGAGGTGGGAAAGGAGTTTCTTCCAGATAATGTATGAAAACTCCAGGAAGTTCCTGCTGCAGTTGCCATGATTTCCCTTCCATAAAAGTTGCTCTCCAAACATCATTTCCTATTCGTTAAGCCTTAGTACTCTGGTCTGTAAAATGGGGAAGGGTTATTTCAACTTGTTCATCTAACTTTCAGGGCAACTGTGATTATAAAAATCAAATGATGGGGCTGGGGATTTAGCTCAGTGGTTCCAGCACCTGCCATGCAAGCGCAAGGTCCAGAGTTTGATCCCTAGTACGAAAAAAAAAAAAAAAAAAAAAATCAAATGATGTTATATCTATAAGGTATAAATGCCATATAAATGCACAGAATTATTAAATACTGAGGAATACAGAAAATTTTTATTGAGCTTCTGAGGCAGATCTTAGTGAAAGGTCTTGAGGGGTAGAAAATACATCCAGTCTGATTTACTCAATGAGTGGATTCTCATTCCACTGAGGATAAGGAAAAGATTCAGGAGGAATTTATTTTTTATTTTTTATTTTTTCCCCTAAAATGCTTTATTAAGACAAAGGTGGGGGGGCGATGGATTGTTTGCCCCAGGGACTGACCTCCACTCCCCTCTGCAGCCCCCCAGCCGGTTCAGTGCACTGCAGGGAGGGTGAGTCCTGGGCCCTAGGCAGAGCTGCTGTCGAGCTGGGCTGAGGCCAGAGCAGGCAAGGTCCGCGTCACTTTCCTCATGCAGTGCAGGAGGAATTTAATAGGAAAAAAGTCAAGCCTGATATCTTACAGCTTTTCTCCCTAGGAATATATGAGGACTTTTGGTTCTGTCTCTTACTGTGTGTGGCTTCTTTCTCTGCGCTGATGGCATTTTCTCTTTACTAAAGTATGGGCTTGAGTGATGCTCTAGTTTGGGCTATCATGACCCCTCCAGTCTTATCTGCATTTCTGGTTACATGCTCACTCTCATTTAACTATGCTAAGAGCACACTATACCTGGTACCGCTCTCCAGGATTCAAAATCAGATTGGCTAAGCATAGCCAAGTGTTGGAAGGATTCCATTCTGTTGCCTTGTGGTCCAATTAGGTCTAGACAGAGAGGAAAGGGAGCATTGGGTATGAGCATGGAGATCAGGTCCAACATGGGGCCTGTGTGGTATTTGGGCATTTTCAAAGAAGGAGACAGAGGCTGGGAGGCTCCCCAAACAATGTGAACTCCAAAACTGCATTAGACTGAGACCTATATCAAGACCATAGTGAAAGACTCAAAGCCATTTTTTTTGGCTCATTCCTTTATTTAGCAAGTATGTGCCAAGGGTTGATACTGGGCAGGTACCATTGTAGAACACAGGGGACAAGCACTAAGACATAGTTTTTGGCAAGTTTCGTTAGACCAGGGAATAGATGATCCAAAGGAACACAGTGAAGGCTTCAGGTACTTTCAGGGAAGTTAAATCTGAGTGAAGGGAAATGATAAAGGAAGAGGATGAGTTGGCCAACTGTATGGAGCATACAGCAGTGGTATCCAAATGGAGCACGCATTAAAATTACTTGGAAGGCCTATTAAGACACAAGCTGCTGAGTCTGACCACCTGAGAGTCTGACTCAGGTTAAGTCTGGGAGAGAAGCTGAGAATTTTCCTTTCTAAGAAGTTCCGAAGTGATCCTGATTCTGCTGGTGTGAGGTTCATACTTTGAGATTCAGTGATTTAGATGTTTGGGGATTGAAAGATGGAAACATGGACAGGTGACCTAAAGTGATGGAGTTGTGACCCAGCAGTTAGTGTTCTGGAATTGCAAGTGTTAGGGAACATCTGGTGTGCTTTAGAAGGTGAGGAGAGATTGAGGGGTAAGGAAGGGATCTTGAATGTCAAGGAGAGGAACTTGAACTTCACTCTGTAGGTAATGGGGAGACACTGAAGACTTTTAGGCAGGGGAGGGGTGTGTTCATATTTAGGCTTCAAAAAGAGCACAGTGAGTAGAAAGGGGTGGGATGGGGGAACAGGACCATAGGAGTCTACATCACGAGCAGCCTGACCACAGGGAGTCCTGGGGACTTTCAGCTTCTCCTAATGAGCAGGATGGTGTCACAATCTTTGATCTCTAGGTCTTCAAGGCACTGATCATTTTTCAGTTTCCGACCCTGGAACTTCAATATCTGATCCTCCACACAAGGTCCTCCAGCTTCTTCAATTACCTCTTTCAAGTCAAGGATAGTGTCATCAGGATTTATGGCATAAGGCCTGCTCTGGCCACTAGAATCCTTCACAAAGACCTGGATTTCATCAAGGGAGGTCTCCAACACCCGGATGTTCACCTTAGAGAAGATCCCATAGTGTGCCAGGGTCTGCCGGCTGCCGAGCAGCTGCCTCTGCCCTCCTGGCTCCTGGAAGGAGAGACGCTGATACCCACAGATGTCATTTCTCATCTTGATCTCTGCCTTCATCTTCCTGATAGGGCTGTAGGGATCCACTGAGAGTGTCCAGTCCTCTTTCCCTGCCTGTTTCACTGTCACCTGCACATCCCGTGCTTGCTGAAATGGAACAAAGAGCAGATAAAGGCATTTGGGTGGTCATGACTGTCTGTTGCCTCCAAAAGTTCTCCCTCTGGTCACTGATGATATAATTTATCATTTACTGAGACATTTTCAAAAATAAAAGGAGGCACTAGTCATAATTATGTGGCACAACAGGCATAGGACTCTTCCAAGCAAAGGAAACTATTTGGACATCCTAGGTTTACAGAATCATTGGGTCAAACTCCGTCCTCTGACTCAACATGCAAATTGGCAACAGGTTTCCAAATAACATTCCTCCTGTGTGGAACTATTCAGTGTCCTTGCCTGTCACCTGGTGGTAACATTAGTACCTCCATGAGCAAATCACAGTGCCATTGTGAGGTTAAACAATGCAATGAGCTGGACTCTGGGATGTAAGCTTAAGGACATTGATTGCAATGGCAGAAGTCTGAAGATATCTAAAAAATCTGCCACAGATGCTGGTTATATAAATTAAAGGACTTGCATTTATTGAATTATCACATAGTTTCTGAAAATATTGATTGGACTAAGGAAGGTTTTATGTTCCTGTTCACCTGGTGTAGGTCCCTTGACCTAACATTCACTCTTGAAAGTGTTCTGATTTGGACTTTATGTTATATGATTGTAACTATTAGGTCCATAGGTGTGGGCAGAAAATTATCTTTAAAATGATTTAATTTAATAAAGGAACAATCAGTTGAATATTAATTTAAGTAAAATAAAAATGCATTCAGGCACATGCTTGGAAGGAGTTGTGTGGAAAGATGAGTGGATGTCTGAGAGGTAGTATTTCTAAGTCAGGGTTGTTATAGGAGGGAAGACTTATTTACTTACTTACTTACTTTGTTTATTTATTTATTTATTTGGTACTGGGGATCGAACTGAGAACCTTGCGCTTGCAAGGCAGGCACGGTGCAGTGAGCTAAATCCCTGGCCCAGGACTTACTTTAAATTACTTTTTAACAATTTGTTTTGCCTTTTTTATGTGTATCAGGGATTAAACCCAGGTCCTCTCTGCTGAGCTACATCCCCAGCCTTTTAAAATATTTT